CATCAGCTCCAAATATTTGAACATTTTGTTCCCAGTCAGTGGCACTGTTTTGGAAGGCTTTAGTAGGGGTGGCCAAGATGGAGGTAGTAGTCAGTGGGGACCGGCTTTGAGAGTTAAACCTTGCCAGGTTTCCAGTTGAGCTCTGCGTCCAGTGCCTGCTTGAAGATGTGAGCGCTTAGCTTTCCACTCCTGCTCTGGTCACCTCACCATGCCGCCCCACCATAACGGACTCTAATCCCTCTACAATGAGGAACTGTAAGCTCAAATAAACTCTTCTTTCTATAAGTTCCCTTGATGGGGTGTTTTATCACAGCAACAGAAAAGTAACTAATCCTTATTAGAGAGAAAAATGAAGTGGATTATCAACCTAGGAGTTCAGCCACACTAATTTTGGATGTCCCTCCCCCTTTAAGTACTATTATGATTAACAGGATGAAGGTAAAGAATTAAATCTCTTCAGGAGTAAAACTCATAGAATCTCCCTGGATCCAGCAGTCCATCAACCTCAGCTTGGGGGGTGGGGCTCTGTGACGGTTCAGCCAGAACTACGTGAAATTTTTGCCTTTTAAATTTTCCTAACATACATTCTAAGGATGTTATTTTACTCCAGTTTCTACCCATTTCCTCCCTTCCAATAGAAGACAAATGAGGAAAGGGGGTGAGGGGATAGGGATTTGTGCCTTAGGGTTGCACAATCGCTTCATCTCGCCCCTCACGGAGATTCTCAGGCACCCCTTGGCATTGGCAGGCTCAGCTTTTGAGTCTGAATCGGGCAGATGCTGACTATAGCCTAAGCTGTTATGGGGATATCACCACGGACACCCCACCCCAAGCTATATGGGGACCACCACAGATCCGGACTCACTCTGCGCACTTGGGCGGTCAGGTTTGGCCCGAGCCTTATCTTCATCCCTTTACTCACTCAGTCACACCAAAAGAAACGCCAACCCACACCCCGTGCCTGGAGCTGCAGTTTCCACTTGCGACAGAGCGCTCAGGCTGCTCCAGAGTTGACCAGGTTCTTGCCTTCCACCACCATCTGTGGTAGTTCTACACCTTGACCCATGTCCTACCGTATCCAAATGGGGACCTTCTGTGCTCTTCTGCTGGTTCTCGTGTCTCCCTGGACTCCCATGTGTTCATGGGTATGGCACCACAGCAGGCAGGCAGGCCTCGCTCTGGGTCCAAAACTAGTCCCAGGGTGCACCTAAGAGCAAGTCAGTTCTAGCCCACACTGGTCCCATCTGCTGCTGGCAAGGGAGATTCTAACTACCCACCTTGTTTCCCTGCTCAATGATCCACTTAAATGTTGCAGGATTTGGCCAAAGAAAAAGACCAAGACCTTTGAGTTACAAGAAAATAGCTTTATTAACCAGCCAGGACCCAGGTGGAGTTAACTACTCAACAGTCTACGATTGGTTAATTCTATCTTTGGGAGGATGGAAAGGGAATATTTTTAGGTAGAAAAACAGACAGGAAGGGGGTGGTCAACTTGACCCTAAGCTACGTTTACATCTAGTGCCATCTGGTGGTATACAGTTGGTGCTTTTTATAACCTTGAGTGAAAGAATGTTTTGTCCTACTATATGAGTGTATTTGAGGGAGGAGTGAATAGGGAGGGAGGATTCACATCTTCAGAGCATGTAGGAAAGGCAGCAGTTGCTAAGGTGCATGGCTTACTTATTGAATTTCGGGGGGGGCGCTCATATACCAATGGGAGGTCTTCCCATCTTCTGATGTCTTCCTCAATTTCTTCCTTAGATCTTAAAATTTTCATTGTTTTATCTTCCTAGTTAGGCTTATTCCCAGGTGTGTGTGTGTGTGTGTGTGTGTGTGTGTGTGTGTGTGTG